ATATAAACACAAAGTAGACTTTAACTGGACTTTTCAGAATCAATTCAAAAACATGATAATTATCACAGCATTCCAATGTGTACACAATGTGTACAACTTATAAAAAATAAGTCGATTAAAGAATAGAATAAACATAAAAATAAGATATAATAAAATGTATGTATTTGACAAATACTATTTGTGTGTTTATACAAATTCTTATTTACTATTTATTAAAACTTAATAATTTTATGTGTTGATAATTATCAGCGTATTCCAAAATAGAGAGGGGCTTTTATTATTTAAACGTGGTTAATGTTTAACCTTGGTAATTTTTATGTATACCATACCATTCACTATAAATGTGAATAATGTATGAATTATGTGCACTATTTTTTATAAGTTGTACACATTGTGTACACATTGGAATGCTGTGATAATTATCATGTTTTTGAATTGATTCTGAAAAGTCCAGTTAAAGTCTACTTTGTGTTTATATAATAATAATAATTTTTATTTATCAAAATAACATTGAAATACACAACTTTCGAGAGAGAGAGAGAGAGAGAGAGAGAGAGAGAGTTTCAGAAAAAGTTTATATTATTACCGTACATATGAACTGAAAGATAATTAATTAAAACTTTAATTTATAAAAAACACGATTTAATTAAAATTTTTATACATAGCACACACGCTATAATAATGTAGGGTTACCAATTACAGTTATACCCGATATTATAATTAACAAAAGAACTCCATCTACACTCATCAAACAGGCAAAAAACTAATTGTAACTGTATTAGTTAAATGACCCGTGTTAAGGTTCTAGTCATAATTTATAGTATCACATTGATCGGAACATATAACCATAAATTAAATAGCATATGTTGTAAATAAAACAAATAAACTTGTAGTGTATTTGACACATTAATGAAAAATATTATGATTTATTTATTAACTCAAATTTAATTATAAATTACAATTATAATATAAATAAAATCAAAAACATTTAATAGTCCTCTTCTACCCTATCATTCAATAATAGCCAATGAGTCGAACTAAATGACTATACTCTTAAATAGAGGATTGTCGATCACCCTAGACAGCCATAGAGACACCAACAACAAACAATTCAGTAAAACAACCTTAAGCAAAATGTTTACAATATGTTCCCCGACACTATTGGTGATCACAATAATTCCCATCGTATTGGCCTTTCCACCTGGGTGGAACAAGAAAGGCCACATGCCCATCTACGTACACAAGCATTTTGCAATGAACGAGTATGTTGCGGTTAGCATATGCAACCCAAAGTATACATTACCACAATTTGGTGAACAGTGCTATTCAACGGACGCGTGTGTTATCGAATTGGACACTAAGGCTACCCCAAAGTGTGTCCACCGAAGCAAAGCCGATAAAACATACGCACAAAATACCGATTTTAACAAATATCTATGATAATATTTTATTAATAATAAATTATTATTTGTATTTTTTAAATTTTAATTTAAATAAACATTGTATATTGATTAAAAATGTTAACATGCATAAATTTAATGTTTACATTTTATGATATGGTTTGTTGTTGCTATGCTTTATTAATTACAGTATAAAGTACTCAACAATTTATCAATAATTATATTTAATTTACATGGTGTTCTATTAGAAATAAAAATTAATAAACTGCTCACATCTTAGTATCGATTCATAAATATAACATTATTTAATTTTCCGATACAAAATTTAATAGAAAACTGAATTATCTTTAGATGTAAGATTGTTTAAAACTGAATTGAATTGCTTGTCATTTCACAGAAATATATTACATGAAAACACTTACGGTTCTAAATCTACGCTAAAGAATGAATGAAGAGATGATTGAACTTAAGCCATGAGTTGTAAATACTATAAATACAGTGAAATGAGCTATTATTGTGTTTTACGTAATAATATTTCGTAGAAAATTGAATTATCATTAGATTTGAGTGTATTTAACGTTGATTTGAAATCCTTATGATTTGCGACAACAGTCTTATCGATAAATAACTCGTTATGTTTAGCCAACACTTCCCGACAATCAGGCCTTTGCTTATAGTCAGGACTCGACTGCATTGACTGCAAAGTCTGGTATAGATTAGCATAATATTTATTAAACTCGGGTTCAATTGCTTGACACGAATGCAAACTATAAATAAATATAAAATATAAATATAATTATTTAACAATTAATAAAAACAAACTTACAGTTGAGGATCAATACTATAGATTTCTTCAGCGATTAGTGCGAGACTATAAATGTCTGTTTTGTGATTATATGGCTTATAATGGTATACTTCGGGTGATGTATATGTCTTAGTGCCCACACCTAACGTATGGTCGTATCGGCTCGCAGTTTGCCTATCGATGTCGTGATCGGTGGCCAAACCAAAGTCACACAATTTTATGAAGCGATTAAACTTTATGTTGTGTTCGAGTAATATATTGTCGGGTTTGAGATCCCGATGAATGACTGGCGGAACCGATTCGTGTAAATATTGAACACATTCTAAGAGTTCTTTGAATATTTCACATGAAATGAAATATTCAAATATACTATTAATCTTCTCTTCCGGTTGTCTCTCGAAGACAATGGGTTTGTCTTTGAGAACAGATTTAAGACTTTGTGAACA